TCAACATACCTTCCAAGGGGCATGTTTATTCTCATCCCTGACAGGCGCATTGAAGACAAAGCTGATGGAAAGCGCCTGTGGACTCAAGCCAGCACCCTGAGAATGGGCGAGCCACCCTCCAATAAGCAGGACCCCATCAACTTCACAGGGTGGCTCTGTGTGGATGACGGGACCAAGGATGAAAACAAATTCACCGACTGCCCAATGGCCATTGACGGGCACCTTACCTAAAATTGAGAACTGACTCAGCGTGTTGATTCTTCGGCTTTACCGGTGGCAGAAAGCAGCGTCGGCAGCTCTTGACTTGCAAAGAGCGGCTGCCCACAGCGACAACTTGGATGCAGCCTCTGCAGCCACGCTGCTGTCCCAGTCCGGGCCGTGCTTCTTGATGCTTCCCGTTTGGCCGGAGTTGATCTTGGAGCCCGCGCATTTCCGTGTGTTGCTGTTGTGACGCCTGCGCTTTCCCTTGCCTTTCGTCCCTGCGCGATGCCGGTGTGGAAGGGAGCAGGACGCTCTTGGCGATCACCGCTCTGCATGTCCGCGATCTGGTGTCTTGCGAGCACGGGGCGGCCCACTTGAACGGGCGGCAGCGCGCATTTGTCGTGAAGCAGGGGCCGTGGTTGCTATGCACACATTGGTCAGGGACCTCAATGTCGGCAGCGTGCCCGGAGATGACCGGCGGATTGAAGTCATAGTCAATGGCTTACCCCTGTGGGGTGGCATGCAACTTGTGTGGATACCACGCTGGTGTCGGCCTTGTCCTCTACAGGTGCCCCGCGGAGCTACCAGAACCGAGCCGAGGGTGCAGCCCTGCGCCAAGCCCGACGGGCCAAGGAGCGCACATAGCCGGAGCTCCTTCGCCCTGACTCGCGCTGCAAGCTGGTGGTCCTCGCTTGAGGTTGGCGGGCGCTTCAGCCCGGAAACCGTCAACATGACCCATCTTAGTTTGACCGCACACGCCATGCGCGGCTCGTTCGGGGCCACAAAAAGCTACAAAATTGGGCCAGCCATTTGTTTGCACTGAGTAGGGTTTCACAGGGCGCAGCCAGCAATCTTTATGGCTGAGGTGTTTGAGCATAGCCTTCTCGCACAGCACAGGCACAGGGCTGGCACTGACTGCCTGGCCTTCATGCTGCGGGTCGCTTCGCAGCTCGATCCAGAGGCGACTGTCGCCGGCCGCAACGCCTATGACAGTGTGTCACGGGCCGCCTTCCTCTGCAAACTCGAGGAAGTTGCTCCAGCGCTTTTGCCGTTTGTGCGATCTGTTCACATGTTAGCTGATGCCCGCTTTACAGCTGGGTTCGCTGCGCCGCCGTGGGCGGCGCTGGCGGACGAACTGTCTGCCAGCCAGCCACGGTACTTCGGGGACACCGCGCGAGGTTGGCAGCAGGCCGCCTGCGCCCACTTGGACAGGAAGGCCCTCGAGACGCTATTTTCAGAACTCGATCCAGCGTCTCGGGCCTTGCTGCTGTCTCAAGCTGGGCCGGGCGGTAGCGTTGCCGCTGCCGCGCTGCTGACTCGCGACGAGTTCAGGCTTCAGGACGACACGTTTCGATGCCGCTGCGGGGGCGCCCTTGACCTGCTTGCCCCACCGCTGGCGTGCTCGTCCGCCGCGCGGGCCCGCTGGAGCGCGCCGTCGCCCGGGTTTGTCGCGAGGCTGGCGCGCGGGTAGCGACGAACGTTTTCCTTCGCGACCTCAACCTCGGCACGCCGTTGTCCGACGGGCGACGGCTCGAGGTTGTTGCGAACGAGCTTCCCGGTTTCGGCGGCGTACAGGTAGCGGTCGACGCGACGCTTGTGAGCCCAGTGCGGCGCGATGGGACAAACCGACCCCGCGCCGACGCCGAGCCCGGCGTTGCCCTGCGGGAGGCAACAGACCACAAGCGCCGGAGCACCTACCCGGAGTTCCGGGGTGCGGCGCGTTGCCGCCTCGTTGTCGTTGCCCTCGAGGTTGGGGGGCGCTGGGGGGACGAGACGGAAGCCTTCCTGCAACGCTTCGCGAGGGGCAAGGCCCTCGCCAGCCCCGAAGACCAGCGCGGAAAGGTTGCCGCCGCGTACGCGCGCCGGTGGGGGCAGTTGCTGGCTGTCGCGGCGCAGGGCGCGCTCGCGGCCAGCCTGGCCTCGCTTCCTCCCGACGCTGGCGACGCCGCTGCCGGGGCGCCGCCGCAGGGCGACGTCGTCTGCGACGCCCGCCGGGCGCTGGACTCGTGAGGGCCCTTGTTTCACCCGGCTGGATGGAAAATGGCGTGTGGGGACCAAAAAAAAGATTTTGCTCTTTATGGCGCCACGTGTTTGGGCGAAGCGCTGTGCTGGACGCCACGCTCGTTGCTCCGCTCCGTCCCGACGGCCAGCCGAAACCACGCGCGGCCGATGAGAGCGGTAGCGCGGCGCCGCAAGGAGGCGCGGTACCCGGAGCTTCGCCGGCCTGGCCCGCAGTCGCTGATCGTTCTTGCTTGCGAGACAGGCGGGCGTTTGGGCCCTCGGCACTGCTCAGCGCCGCCTTTCAGCGCGCCCTCGCTTTCATTCTGCTCGGGGTGCGTAGGCTTTCCTTCGCCCGACTTCGCTGGTGTCCTTGCTTTGGCTGGCCCGTCCGTGCGCGCTTCGCTCGCCTTTCTCGGTGGCATTCGGTGGCCTTTTCGGGTGGGGGTGGTTCGGGTTCCCTGGTTCTCACCGCGGCTTGACGGAAAATTGCGTTTGGGGAAAACAACAGTCATGTGCTCCCCGAGGCAGTGCGAGGGACTACCGTTCTAGGAGCCCCCTCAGGCGGAAATGCATTCGTGCGGGCCCAGCTCGGCGCCGTGCGCAACAAACAACTTTGCCTCCTGCATGTCCTTTGCCTGGCTGCTGTACCGCGCGTCGCCACGGTCCAACTATGCACTTCGTATGGTACCCCCAGCACTCACCGATCTTTTTGCCGTTGAGGATCTCTGCTGCAGTGCAGAGACGTTTCAGTGCAATGCTGTTTGGTGACTACGGGGGCGCTCCCGGACGCAGTCCGAGCTTGCCTTCCGCCATGGTGGACGCGGACACGCAAAGCGGTGGTCGCCAAGAGGGTCCTTCGGGGACCTGCATGGTTTCTTGGGGTGATTGGGGCCAGCACGCTGGACGTCAGAGCGTGTCGCGAACTTTCCAAGGAAGGTGGTGGTGCCCAGCTAGCAGTGAACTCCTGCGCCCGTGGTCGCTCGGTGGTCTGCCCTGCTGCATTTCGCGGACCACCTTTCCTTTGCTGCGTCCTTGCTTGAAGGGCGAGGCTGCTGGCCGGCCAAGGAACGCACATAACCGCAGCTCCTTCGCCCTGACTCGCGCTGCAGGCTGGTTGTCCTTGCACTTGAGGTTGGAGGGCGCCTCAGCCCGGAAACTGTGGACTTCGTGCAGCGGCTGGCGCGGGCGCGTGCGAGAAGTGTGCCGCCTCGTGTGCGCGGCGCAGTCTGGGCTGCCTTTGCCCGGCGCTGGTGCTCCTTCTTGGCCAGAGGCGCGAGCCGGGCGTACGCTGCCAGCCTCTTAGCCTTGCCCGCCCACTCGGCCGCAGGTGTTTATGGGCCACCGCCGTTGGTCGGTGACGTGCTCGCTGACTGTGGGGAGCCGTTTGCCGGGCGCTTGACGGGCGCCGAGCTGGCCTCCGTAACAACAGCAGCCAAGACCTCCAGTGCCTTGCTTTTGTTCGATGACGCTCCCGAGCGCCGCATTCTTTCAGGGCTCTTCAAACTTTCCAACGTGCCCTCGATTTGATCCATACAACAACCCCCGGGCGTCTTGGTGCATCATAGTCTTCTTGGTCCTGGACACGTTCAAGGCAACTGTGACCCTGCTCGCTCGGCAGGGGTTTGAGTTTGAGGCCCCTCAGTGGCACCAACTTCCTGGCAACGCTGTGCCACAGCCACCTGATGTTGAGGATGATGCCCCTGGCATCGGGCGGGGGTTGCAGAAACACGCGTCGGCTGCCACGCACACTTTGGTCAGGGACTTCAATGTCGGCAGCGTGCCCGGAGATGATTGGCGCAGCGAAGTCATAGCCAATGGCTTGCCCCTGTGGGGTGGCATGCAACTTACCGTGGATACCACGCTGGTGTCGGCCTTGTCCTCTACACCTGCTCCACGGCGTTACCAGAGCCGAGCCGAGGGTGCAGCCTTGCGCCTGACTTGCAAAGCGCGGCTGCCAACAGCGACAACTTGGATGCAGCCTCTGCAGCCATGCTGCTGTCCCAGTCCGGACCGTGCTCAGCCCATCTTGATGCTGCTCGTTTGCCCGGAGTTGGTCCTTGAGCCCGCGCATTTTCGTGTGCTGTTGCGGCGCCTGCGCTTGCCTTTGCTTTTCGTCCCAGCGCGGTGCTGGTGTGGAAGGGAGCAGGTCACCCGAGTGCTTGCTTTCGCGGTGGTTCGCCAACAGAAGGCGGATGCTTTCCAAGAAGGGGAGGCTGGCTGCAAAGGCCCGTGCCCCGAAGGTCCCTGGAACAGGTGGCGAAAAATAAACCCCCAAGGGGCCTGCATGGCGGGCCCCTGACATTAGAACAAGAGAAAGGAACAGTTACTACAGAAAGGTTCAAATGCCAAGGATTTTACAGATAACCGTCCTTAGAGGAGTGGGAATGGGAGAGGCTTCTTCACTGTCGTTTTTTTCCGTGTCTCTTCCGTGTCTCATCCCATCAGGGCGAGAGCGCGGAATGGCACTGCGAGTACCTTCACAAGGGCAAACAGTTAGCGGGGGCACCAGCTTTTTGGTTGTGGGAAGGTTGCGCGATGGTCGCCAAACCCGCTTCCTGTGCCCGGGCCCCCCTTTGAAGCCTTTTTTTTTTTTTTATGGGGGGGGGTTCGTGCGGAAAATGGCGTGTGATGGCTGCCGAAGTGGACCTCCAGGCTGCAGTGTAGCACAGCGCAGACTGCAATTCATGCTTACGAACGTCAACTGCGTGCCATAGGTGGATCAGTGGTTACATACTGAGGGCTGGAACACTCGAATGGCACTCAGCTGTGCACCTGTGTGCAGGCAGGGCCAACCTTGCAAGCCATGCATGTCAGCCGACTGTCCATGAAGTGATGATGTGATCGCCTCGCCATGCCGCGATGAGAATTGCCCAGCGCAGCTTGCAATGGCAGCAAACTGCCAGTCAGTGCAGTTGGCGGCCATTTTGCACCATCTTGTGCGGGCGGCAGACGTTGCGGCGCTGCACCAGATCAGCAGGCCGCATTCCATCAGATTTGGATTAGGCGCAATGGTAACTTGTCATCTTGAAAGTCAGGCTCAGTTGCAATGGATTCGCGGGCGTTGAAGGAGGACATTGCATGCGCGCGCGCTTTCATTCTGCGCTTTTGGAGTATGAGTACAAAGTAATGCATATGTAGGTCGCATGTTTGCTTTGCCCATTGTTTCAGGAGCAGATTGCCATTGCCCGCGAGCGCGTCTTCGGGCCGCAGGGAAGCATGTCCTGGCCTCATGTATTCTGCCAAAGGGTCGGCCGTCGCAGTTCCGGCAGGCCCGGCGATCGAGAATTTCGGAAGAAACTGGAAGGACGTAAGCTCATGAGCCGTGCGCCCAGGCTTCCAGGTGTGGGCGGCCAAAGGGGTGTTCACAAACTTGAGCTAAGGATGGTATTTCCCTTCGAAATTCAACCTCCAAGAGTTTCAGATTCATGACTACTTTGAGATGCAGGCTTGGAAAGGTGTGTGTACGTGTAGGCTCTTGTCCTGGCCTCTCATTGCTGGGCATCGGGCAGGCAGAGAGGTTTGCACCTCGAGATCAGCACTCCAGCGTGCAAAAGCTCATTCAGATGTTGGACAAGGCAGGGCCCACCTGTTTTCTGTTTTTCTTCTTTTTTTTGGGGGGGTTCACTTGGGGCGCGTTGTTATTCTTGTGCTATGAAACTGATCCTTTTGGGCCGTTCCGTGGAAGACAGAAGCTGACACGACAAGCTTCAGCATCATGTTGTTGCACATTCACCATTGTGCACTGGCTTGGCCAGCTTGATTTTTTTGTGGCGTGATTTTGTTGCATTCTAACTACTTGCAATTTTGATCGTCATGTGTTGTTCCATTCATTTTGCCGCTGCCATTGGTTGCCTCTCCTGCGCAGGTGGCAAAGAACCGGGAAGGACTGCGGAAATTCTTCAACGATTTGGATGAGGTGGGCCGGGAGGGTCATGCTTGTTACACGCGATCAGCATCACCACATGGTTTGCAGTAGAAGCGCGGTGCAGGAAGCTTTCATGCAGAACCACACGCTGCAGGAGCTGGTCGAAGAACACATTTGCATTGCATGGCATGGCTTGTTAGTGGGCGTGTTGGTGAAGCGTGAGTTTGTGCAATTGAGGCTAGCAATGATGTTTTCGAGGCTGATGTGTGCATTCTGAAGGAATAGGCATGACCTGTTTCTTCAACCCAATGCATTTTCTCGCGATCCCGGCAGCACCCAGTGGCGCCCACGCTTACGGGCCAGAAACCTTGTTTCTGAGACCAACGCCCCGGTTGCGACAGTGCCTCTTGACTTTGAACGGCTATGAGTTCTTTTGGTTTTCTTGGTGTTACCTCATTTGCTTGCTTGCTTTACGCAAGAGCCTCAGTGCTTTATGTTTCTCGCGCGTGTTTTTGGTTTGCTGGTGGCTTTTCGGCTCATGAGGGTGCTTCCTCAATGAGCGCAGCAGCAACAGCATGTGCAACCTGTTCAGCGAGTCTTGAGCCGTCGTGCTCTCGTTTGGCAGGCATATGCGCAGAGTGGAACGGGTGGGTCATAGCGTGTGCTTATCGTGTCTTTGTGAATTTTCGTTCATTCTCTGCAGGCGCACCGGCTCTGGCGTGCATGTTAAGTGGGTACTTGTGTCTTAAGGGGGTTCGTGCAGCCCCAACTTAGAAGAGCGCACGCTTCTTTTGTATGTTTACAACACGGATTTTATTTTCCACGTTTGTGCTGTTGTGCTTCAGAGCGCATGAGGGCTGCCAATAAGACCTTTTTGTATTTTGTGTTTTTCATCCTGCTTTGCGCTTACTTTTGCGTCCCTCTGCCCATGATTGCTCGCAGGATCTCTATGGGTTTTTCCGCTTGCTTGACGGCGACCACGCGCTCAGCAAGATCCACCCGGAGAGTGACATGTTTAAGAAGGTGGGGACATATTTTGCTTTGTTGTTGGCGTGGATCAGTGAACATGTCGCACAGTGTTTTTGGAACACGCAGGATTGGGCGTATAGCTGTGCTTGCCAGTACTGGCAAGGTGTTCATGCAGCACTCACCCTTCGGCGGCTCTTTGCCATTTGCCCGGGCTCAGCTCCTAGCATTCGACGTCCTTGAGGCTGTTTGCATTGGATACTTCCTGGCTGGCTTGTGCTGTAGGTAAGGCGATGTTGAAAGCTCATGTGAGATGTTGGAATTCTTCTTGTCACAGTTGCTGGCAGCAATGCAGGGTTGGATGGATGTAATCAGCGATGTGCCCTGCCCAGGTTTCTCATTTGCCGGATGAGGCAGGGTTTGTTTGCATATTTGAAACCTCCGCCGTGCCAGCAGGCCGAGACGGAGGACAAGGCGGACGACGATGGGAAAGCTGAGGCGAAGGCTGCCGTTTGATGCATCCCTTGAAGCCAGAGCCACAATGCTCCTACAGATCAACTTGCGGTTTGTGAATCAGTTCCACTGAGGCAACATGGGCATCCCAAGTGGATGCAAGAAGGGAGTTGCTGGATTAGCGTTGCCAAAGTTCTGGTTAATCTATTCGTATTGGTCAATCAACCTACAGAACAACATGACGGCACCTGACTTCAAAATACGACCATGATTTCATTTCAGGGATTGGGCTGAAGGACTGGTCTACACGCTACCCTTTTGGAGGGCGCAGTGCGTAGCCACCGTGGGCTGAAGCTCCAACGCAAAGCGATACCCTACTCTTGCTTGGCAAAAGGAACGTGGGTTCCATTGTACAGTTCCCCATCCTATGCACAAGCAGTGTTGCATCCACCAATGCGTTGGCAAGGGTTGGCAAGCGAGGTTAACCCGCTGGTTGCTCAGCACATTTGCAAGTGGAAGCCGGGAATGTATGACAGCAACACCGGCAAAGAGAGCTGGGGAACTGCAGGAGCTGGCTGGCAATTGGAAGGATATGGCTTGACACCAAGTCGTGTTTGCAGCACCTGGACCAACGAAACCAGAAGCTTGGTCGTCTTGCAAGGATTTGGTCGTGTTGTATGCCAGCCTTCTGGAATCGCCGCAGCCTGAGATGGGGAACTTGGGCGACGCGAAGGCATCCGGGCCAAAGGCTTGACGGGAGGTTCCACGTTGCACGCCCACAGCTTCGGAGGCTTCCGCCCGAAAAGCAGAGCACACTTCGCGACCGGGCCCTAGTTTTTGTTTTGTTTTGGGTTTGTTTTACTGCAGACTGAGTGAAGTTTTTTTCTTCTTTTTTGTTTTCTCCTCCCCAAAGAAAGACAAACAAACACGTATTTGCTCTTTGCAATATCTAACGCTTTGACCTTTCTGCAACTTGATTTTGCCTGTGCCGGTGGAAGTCATGAGTTCCTTGAAATAGTCTGCTTGCGAGGCTGAAGTGTCCAGGTGCAGCTCGCCGCAGGAGTTTCGCTCGTTGCTGGATCGCACCATGCAGGAGAACAACGCCTGGCGCTGAGCTGGCGAGCGGGAACCAACAGTCGCGGTTTTATTCTTCGGCCATTGGGACAGGGCTCCAAATAAGAGCAGGACTCTTCCAGGGACACTTGTACCCGTGGGCCACTCCTCTTGCGGCACAGTGTGACGCGTCCACACCCCGAGTTCGTGCCACCTCTCGGCCACAGCACCGCAATTCTTCACGATCGCGATCCCAAAGGTCAAGCAGATGATGAGGTGGGAGCGTGCGCGGGCTCGGCATCGTGCTCGCTGTCAGGGCCACCACTTTTTTTCTCTCCCTCTCTCTCTCTCTCTCCCTCCTCCCTCCCTCCCTCCCTCCCTCCCTCTCTCCCTCTCTCTCTCTCCCTCTCTCTCCCTCTCTCTCCCTCTCTCTCCCTCTCTCCCCCTCTCTCCCTTTCTCTCCCTCTCTCCCTCTCTCTCTCTCCCTCTCTCTCCCTCTCTCTCCCTCTCTCTCCCTCTGTCTCCCTCTCTCCCCCTCTCTCCCCCTCTCTCCTCTCTCTCCCTCTCTCCCTCTCTCTCCTTTTCCCTCTCTCCCTCTCTCTCCCTCCCTTTCCCTCTCTTTCCCTCTCTCTTTCCCTCTCCCTCCCTTTCCCTCTCTTTCCCTCTCTTTCCCTCTCTTTCCCTCTCTTTCCCTCTCTTTCCCTCTCTTTCCCTCTCTTTCCCTCTCTCCCCCTCTCTCCCTCTCTCCCTCTCTCCCTCTCTCTCCCTTTCTCCTTCTCTCCCTCTCTTTCCCTCTCTTTCCCTCTCTTTCCCTCTCTTTCCCTCTCTTTCCCTCTCCCTCTCTTTCCCTCTCCCTCCCTCTCTTTCCCTCTCTTTCCCTCTCTTTCCCTCTCTTTCCCTCTCCCTCCCTCTCCCTCCCTCCCTCTCCCTCCCCCCCCCTCTCTCTCTC